CCTGCACCTGCCACGAAATCTGCACTTCAAGGTCCACAAAAAAGTCCTGCGACTGCCACGAAATCTGCACTCCAAGGCCCATAAAGTCCTGCGCCTACCACTGGCCACCAGCTCTGCACTTCAACATGTGCATTGCAAGGTCCACAAAGTACTGCACCTGCCACGAAACACTACGACAAGCAAGCAAGCAAGTACGAGCTGCTCACCTTTGGATCTGGTGTGCTGCTGGGCGGGGCGCTGCGCCCCCCCCCAACCCCCCCGAAATCTGCACTTCATCGCCGACACCCCCGCCTGCCACGAAATCAATATTTTAAGGTGAACTCCCCGGTGCCAAATTTTTCTAACCAAGCAAATATGCCTCCTCTATCTCTCTATCTATCAATCTATCTACCTATCTATGTATTTATCGATCCATTTCTCTTTCTATCTGTCTATCTGCAGTTCAACATCCACAAAGTACTACACCTGCCACGAAATCTGCACTTCAAGGTCCACAAAGTCTTGCGCCTGCCACCAAATCTGCACTCCAAGGCCCACAAAGTCCTGCACCTGCCACCAACTCTACACTTCCACATCAAAAACTCCTGTGCCTGCCACGAAATCTGCACTCCAAGGCCACAAAGTCCTGCACCTGCCACGAAATCTGCACAAGGCCACAAAGTCCTGCGCCTGGCACGAAATCTGCACTCCAAGGCCCACAAATCCAAGGCCCATAAAGTCCTGCGCCTACCACCGGCCACCAACTCTGCACTTCAACATCCACAAAGTCCTGCACCTGCCACGAAATGTGCATTGCAAGGTCCACAAAGTACTGCACCTGCCACGAAACACTACGACTACCACTACGATACTGCTGCTATAGTCCGGTTGCTACTCTTACTGCTACTGCTATTTGGAATATGTTTTTTTTGACTCATTAAGTATTTTTTTGATGCGTGTGGAATATTTTTTTATTGATGCGTTAAATATATGTTTTGATCTCTCACCCATTGTGGCTGGGGACGTTCCTTCAACTTGTGAACTTTCCAATGACTCCAATTATTGTACCCCAGGTGGGAGGGGTTGGTTGAAGGCCATGGGCCTGGAGTTGTAGAAAGAGCCTCAAACTTCCAGGGAAAGCTACTATTTGCGAGATTTTGGCAAACGTGTATGTTCGAGATCGCGAGAAGACACAAATCTTCCTTGGGATTGGATGGCTCCAATGCTTTTGACATTTTGTAGGAGACGATGCTCCATTCCAATATTCCAAGAGAGACGCGCTTCCGACAGACTCGAACTTCACAAGCCATGACAAACCAGACCGGCGCAAAGATCCGGCGGAAGATCTCGGAGGATCCGGTGGCATCCTTTCTCCGCCGTTCTTCCTTTCCGAGGCATCGGATTTTTTTCCTTGGGTCCCCGTGTTTGGGACGGGCGCGCTGACCGCGGCGCGCTTCGCGGCGTGCTTCGCGTCCGAGGCCTTCTGCACGGAGGTGGAGGAGCTCGGGGACTCCGAGGAGGCGGAGACCTTGATCTCGGGATGTCTCATCCGTGGCTTGGCCCAAGAAAAGCAGCAGGACTTGGCCAAAGACCTGGGGAGAAGCGGCTACTTGAAGAGGGTGGGAGGTGATGAGGTTTGGGAGGTTGGGCTACTTGAGTGGAACCTCATTTAGCTTGCTTCTTGCCGGGGATTGTGGGGTGGGAAATGAAAGGGGTCATTCTCTGTGCCTGGAAGCGTGGCGCTTGCGCCGGCCGCTGACGAGGTCATGAGAAAACTGCTGAGCAAACCGGTGGAAACGATGTCTTATTCGTCTCATTTCTTTGTTTATGGAATCAAACTAATAGCTTTCGTGCCATTGTGAAATGTTTAGAACGTACAACTGGCCAGCAACTCTTTCCTAGATATAAACAAGACAGGGGCCTCATCACTGGTCAGGCTTGGATTTCATAGACATTTGGTTGGGGGATTGGCTTCGAGACCAAATCGTCCTCACACAGCTATGGTAATTATGGATTATTCGTCCCGTCCTGGACTGCCATATCCACTGAATGTACACATTCCGTTTAGTCCGATTTGTAGCCATTTCCAAGAATCCTTTCCTCCAGACATACCCTTTGACAAACGCCATACCTTGTATCAAACGGCACGAAAGTATATTCGCACAAATCCGCTCTTGAGAAATTGCCAACTAACCCATGAATTCTTGACTGCTGAATTTAGACGCACTTTCGTTCCCTAATTCGCTTGATCGCATACCGGACAACTACATGTCGAAGGGCTGTGAGGAGCGCATCGGACGGAGCGAGCGCCACTCCCGTAGCGCACTCGAAGTCGACGAGTGATCCCGGTCTTGCCGGGTACATGGGAGGGCGGGCCACGGACCCAAATAAAGCAATGCAGGAGATCTTGTGAGATGACGTTGTTCAACTGGTGATATATATAGAAGAGTTGAATATAGTCAGGACTTCAGAATTCAACCCAATGGTACGACTGACTCTCCAGTGGACTCTCCAGAGGTTGCTGGTCGTTTTTCGCTGTGGTCCCTGAACACTGGTGGCCGAACATCTTCCCAAATGGGTGCGACTTCTCTTGAAAAACCAAAAACCGGCAAGTTCTTCTCTTAAAACATTTATTTCTTTTTTATTCCCTTTTTTTCCGAATCCTCCTCGGACCTCCAAGCCGAACACTCTGAGGAGTCAAGGGCTGGTGGCGCAAGGGAGCTCGCTTCGAGCAGCGGCGGGCGACGGTGCGACGGAGTGTCTCCTCCGAGAACGAGGTGGAGTCGGAGCTCTTGTTTGGACGTGATGATGGCAGCCGTAGGAGGGATGGCGGCCGTGGATGCGGTCGGGATGTGGATCTTGGATTGACAAGAGCCGAACAAGAGCGGAGAGCGTTGGATTGGAAAGAGACATGATTCATCATGATTCTTTTTTGACGTTGAAGAAGCTGCCCCAAATCAGCACGGATTGAGTTTGATCCCTTTTTCAGTGCGAAACCACGCCTTCTCTTCCACCTGCGCAGTGCGAAACCACGCCCAGCGCAGGAAGATCTCTCTGCGTGGGGTGGCGGTGGAATCTTTTGCGTTGGAAGGCCTGTTCGGCTTCCGAATCCTGCCCTTGCCCAGCTCCTCTTCGTCTCCCATCGATCTGGCCACCGAGACCGGCCCTTTGGCCCCGAGACGTTCATGACACATCGGACATGCAGAGCATGAACAAGCCATTTGCAGGTGCATGCAGGTGTATGCAGCGTCTTCTACGGCGCTACGAGCATCCTTTCTCTTGAACCCACTGGGAAGGCCGTGTTTTGTTGGGCAGTTTTGCAACATATTTGTTCTGGTCATGCCCATTGGAGGCCATTACGGGTCTACCGAACAGTGATGCATCCTGTGTCAATTGGAGAATCTTGCCTGTTTGGTCCAGAACGAGGGTGCCTGCTGTTGGTCAGTCCCAAAACCGTCTGAGGCGATCAACGAGACCTTTGGATGGCGGCCATTTCCATTGCTTCGGCTCACAAGCCCCAGGGACATGTGGCAGGTGTTTTGCGAGTCACCCTGGTTGAGGGTGGCATTACTCAGGCGAGGGACCGACACCGAGGGGGAACGAAGATTGGAACTGCAACCCCACAAAATGCATGAGGAAGTGGGAGGCACTACTGCGAATTGGTGTAGAACATGATAGCTGCTCATGCTTGCAAGTACATTAAATTGGTTTCAAAAATACAAGCGCATTCCAGCCTGGCTCAACATGCTGGACACAGACATGCCTTCACAGAATCTTTGGACGTGATTGTTGTTCTCAGACATGGAAGGTTATGCTAAAGTGAAACCGCCGCAGATTTTTTTCGAAATGTGTTTCAGCGTTGCCTGTTCTGCATGAGATCTCAGATGGGGACACCATGGACCTTTTTATGAATTTTGTACCTGATTAAGTATTGAGTATGATCATCCACCGGCTCAGGTGGGTCTTGGAGGGGCCTGAGTTATCATCATCCCTCCAAGGCCTCCAAGCTTCAAAACACTCACTCCCTGCCTCCCTGCAGGACCAAAGTATGTCCAAGCGCTTGACACTCGCGCCCAACGCCTTTTTTTGCGTGGTCTCTTGCAATGGAATGTGCTCCAGGACAGTGGCCAAGCGGCCCCAGAAGACGGTCGACGGTCCCGGTCCCGGCACTTCTTTGGGCATCATCGACTTGGGGGAAATCTTCGAGTTTCCCATCACCAATGATGCCCGTCGTCGTTTCATTTTACGGGCCGTTCTGCTTTTGGCGCGAAGGTGCGACATCAAGTTGATGTCGCATCAAAAAACACCCCAGGGTTCTTGGTGCCCTTGGAAGGATGCGTTTCTGCTCCCTGGTGGAGGTAAGCAAGGCCTTCAAGAGTCTGGGAAGACCATAGGAGTCTAGAGGAGTGAATCGGAGCAAAGTGACAATGACATACAAAAGTCTTGCTTTAGCAGAGGGATGGGCCGGGTGAGATTCCAAACACGGACTTGGTCAGACAAGTCTCTGGAGGGGAATTACAGCTGGCAGCCTGCTGTCGCAGCCTGCTGTCGCAGCCTGCTTCCGCTGAGGATGATCCGGACTCATTGATCCAGCTTCAAGTGTGGAGCACTGACTTCCGCCGTGGCAGCATGCGTGGCAGGGTGGACGTGCCTCTCTATGCCTTGGGAAGGAAGCACCAGAGGGAGATGCAGCTGAGCTTGCGAGATGTGGACCGGCCCAAGGGAGAGAACAGCGAAGTGGGCTTTCTAAGAGCATGGTGTAGCTTTGAGCAGGACCTGGGCAACTTGGACTGAAGTTGGCGAGCCAGGCAGGCAGTTCCTGCTTGCAGAACCAACGGGCACCAGGTCCGGTGATGCCTGTGATGCTCTTGTTCTGCCTCAGCTAATCAGTCATAAATAAAAACAAGAGCTGCTTAATTCGACAGCCTAAGTGGCTTTCTTGCCTCCCAAAGAGCTGTTTGCTTTTCCGCTGAGGCTCCTTGTTACTTCCTCGGCCCCATAAGCCGCCGAAGGCCGCATGGCAAACGGTGGGGATCGACAAGGGCATGCGCGAGCAGTTGAAAGAGCTGGAAACCTTCATGCAGCAGTTCGAGGCAGAGGGTCCATGGGAGGAACTGCTATTTTGTAAGTGTTAAAGTAGTTACCCGTCTGAGGGGTATTAACTGACTGCGAGCATCCCTGATGACAATTCTTTCAACTTGCGCAGAAGCAGTTCCCACATTCAGAGTGCGCTTGCCGCGCAGGGACATCAAGCAAGAAGTCCCCCAGCGTGATCACGCTGTTGATCTTATGTGTCCAAAACCTCCAAGTAAAGAATATATAATGCTATGAAACAACCGTATTCGGGGCGCGAGAAACACTACGGTTCAGGAGCGCGAAAGCTGGCGAGAGCCTTCTGCAAAAGAGTCGGTGTGAACAGTAATTCCGTGTTTCCAGGGGGTGTGAAAGTGCTGTGAAAAGTGCTTTTCAAGTACTTTTTCAAGTAAGGGGTTGATTCTCACCATTGAGCAAGTACTCTAGACTTGTAAACTTTGACGTGCCTGGGTCTCCTTCAGTGCCTGGGGCACCTGGGAGCGACAAAGCCGATGATTGGCTCACTCTACTCACAAATTTGTGCACGCTTTTGTTACTATTGGCAGTGATTGGAGTTGTTTGAAAAGCATCCTGTCGGACCCTGTGGTAGGTGTTTTCAAGCCGCTTCATGCATCATTCTGATGTTTCCAGAAGCCTCTCACTCAAGTACAAGCGCATTGTGCCTCTTGGCTTCTGGCGGAAGTCCTGTTTCTGGATACAGGGTCGAATGTTTTGGATTTGAAAAAAGACTTACTGATGACGCTTCCGCAAAACTTCCGCTGTCAGAAAGCTTCCAAGAAGCACAGCGTCTGAAGGTGGAAGGTTGGAAAGTGCCGATGACCGTGGTTTTCAAGCAGCAGATACAGATACTTGCTTGATACAGATAGTTGCTGGTTTTGAGTTCCAAGGCAGTGGGATTCTCCTGGCGTGACCATTTGTTGCCTGGTGTCCTTAACCGTTCTCATCGGCTTCTTTCACGAATACATCCTCCCTGTGGCGGCTCTTGTCCTGCTCGGTGTGATCTTGTGGCCTCTTGGCGAAAAGGGAGGACATGGTAGGTGCGAGTAGATGTACATGATATGGAGGGCATGGTAGGACGAAAAGGACCAAAGTGATGCCCAGGCATCAAAGGACGAAGATATTGGTTTGTGACGTGGATGAATTAAACAAGAGTAAAAGCACAAGAGTCTCAGAGACTTTCGGAGAATGGACAGGCAGGCCTCCAAAGGTGTGGTCATACACGCCATGTTGAGCCCTCCAAAACTTCAGGTTTCCCATGGCATTGCATCAATTCAGATCCCCTGGATCCGAGCCCAGCGAAGAGGTACCATCCAGCTCGCGAAGAGGTACCGAAATGCGAGTTCTGCGAGCCGCAGGAGACGGAAAGCGTTGTCGAGCCATGGCAGGGTTGGCCAGTGAGGATTTCAACACATCTGGCAGTGAGGATTTGCAGGTTGCAAAGCCAGCTACTATATCAACACATGGGATCCAGTTCTTTTCAAGCCATGGAGGTTCCTTACTTCACGACTGCCTAAAGTGCTCGGCCCGAACGTGCCGACGGACGTCGAAGACGGGGTCGACCTCTTCAGGGCCCTCCTTCAGGGTGAAGCTTTGCCAGGAGCAGCCGCAGAGCTCTAGATTGATCTCAGGCGAGAAGGATGGAGAATGCGAGTGAGATGGGGGGAACTCTGTCAGATTTATAGTCATTATTCTTTTCCAGGGATTGTGGCAATGGACTGCTTTTGGTGGTTGGGAGTAGTGATGCTGCTTTTGATTGCATCGGCGAAAGGCCTTAATCAAAGCTGGATTCAAAGATCCTTTTCCTTCGCTTGCTGGGTGTGTCATCATCCCCTATCTTCGTCATTGTATTTCCCAAGTGTCTAAGAAGGTGGGGACGGGGCACCTTGTCCAAACGCAACTCAGGATCCTAGATTGTCAAATAAAGCGGAGTACCCGCATTTGGCCGACTACCACGTTGGCCAGAAATGCCATAGTCAAACAAAGGGATGAAAGGACGGGCATCGCAGAGTGGCCGCTACTGACTGACCTTTGTGTAGCAAAATCCCTTTGCACATGTCAGGGCTCAAAGCGCAAAAGAACACGTCGGAGGGAGATGATGCAGATGTGAAGGCACGAGTCTGCATTTGGGTAAAGATGCAAGTTTATCTTACTTTTTTGTTACTAGTAGCTTCTTGTTACTAGTCGTAATGCCAGGAGCTACGTTCGTAGCTTCTTGCTCCTAGTAGCGATGCTCTTTGTTACCAGTAGGATCCTTGCTCCTAGAAGGACGCCGTGTCATTCGGTTGATTCACGCTTGGAGAGCGATTTTTCGCATTTACACCGTCCTGACCCCACAGGAGCGCTACGAGAACGAGCGTCGACTGGTGCTGGGGCGGTGGGCCCGGCGGAAGGGCCTTTAGGCATACTCTGGCCAGCAAACGCCTTGGAAGAAGAGTTTTGTTTTTTGGTGCCACGATGCTTCTTTTCAATGGGCCAGTCTTGAGGTTTGATCATGATTTTCTGGCATGTGTCACTACAAAGCTGACAAGGTCCTTCCGTCAAATGCGCTTCTTCTGCATGTGAAGCTAGACCAGAAGTGGCTCGAATTGCTGCATGAATGTCACGAAGGGTTGTATCTGGAGCTACGCGTTAGTGGTCTTGGTAGAGTAAATTCCATCCTCCAAAGAAGGGCTTGGCTCAGCCGATTTCGCCAGGTTTACCTCCAGCCGGCTTCGGCTTTGGGATCCTCCGCCCTGGACGGGGGCCTTGGTTTGGAGGGTCGCGGACGGGGCAGACTGCGTCGCCCTGCGCCCGGTCGCGGGTCCACCGCGTCGCTGCCCACGTCGGGTGTCAGGAGCGATAGCTCGGGGCGCAAAGTGGATCCTCCCAAGCCCTACGAGGACCGAAACGCGAGAGCTGAGAGGGTAGAGCTGGAGGAGAGGGAGAGTGGAGGTCTGGGTAGGGCCGCTGGATGAGAGTGCGGGTGGTCTTAGGTGCAACACGAATTCCCAGGTGAGCTGCTGGGCAGTCACAGATTTGTAAGAAGGACTTCACACTTGATGAAGCCACCACTACCACAAAAACATTCTTATCAAGGCATCATCCACCCACCACAAAGATGTGTGAGTGGCCGGAGCTGTTGGGGAGGAAAGCTTCCATCCCTCATGGGCATGTTTCACACTCGCGCTGTGTGCACAGGGTACTTGGCACATATGTCGGCACGCCAAGTGGACTGTTCAGGCTGGGTCTCCTAGGTCTCGGGTCGACATGGTTCCCGCAAACCGAGCAAAGCTGCAGACGACACAGCTGGCCGCAGCATTTCCACTCGCTCAGCATCTCCAGCTGCTCCAACATCCAATCCTTACAACTTCAACAGCAGGTGGAATGAGCTACAATTGGCTGATACAGGCACAACTGTCAGCAAACCCAGATTGACAAAGCCTTTTGTCAGCCAATTGACAAAACGCTCTCTTTTCAGGAGAGAAATGACCGATTGGATATGAGTGTATCCCAGGCTGCTAGGACGCAAGAATTCTCGCTTCAAATCGGCAGCCCAGGGCAGCCCACCACTGGCTGCGGAGCGCCATGGCACAGCTAGATGTGGCAATCTTCATCGTGTCGGCCGTGTCTGGGCTGCTTGAAAGTTTGGAGTACTCGGCGGGCTGAGCACTCGATTGGTGGGCTTTCTTACAGTTATTATATCATGGGAAGCAGTGCTCAAAAAAAGGCGTTTTTCTTCCCACCAGACAAGAATGGATGCGGAACTTCTTGAGTAGGTCAGGTGGGGGTTCCAGATAGATGTTGTAGATCCAGTGGGGTGAAAGCCAGTGAGAACCGAACCAGTCTCTCAGCCGTTTGGTGAGAGATATCTCTTGAAGTCAAGATCTACATGCGATCTACATGCAGTTGCTAGCGCGCTGTTTAAAGAACTGTCATCCATCCAAGACACCGAGAAGCCCAAGCACCCAAGAAGCCATGTTTGATGGGGTTCCGTGGCTTCTTGGATGGGGTTGCCTGGCCATCAAGGCCCTTCATTCCACCAGATGGTCCTCTGAGGACTTCTCTGATCATGGGTTGATATGAGGAACACATTGAACACTGAGGTCATTATGGCCATGCGCCTGAGATGCATGCTCAGGCGAACGGTTTGTGAAAGACTGGACGATGACCGACTCCAGATGCAAATCCCAAAGACAATGTTTGACAACCCCTTAAATGAACCATCCACTTAAGATCTGAGCCAAGAGTCTTGAGGCGGGGGAGAGTACGGAAGTGATCAAATGTAGAGTCATGTTGCAGGAGAGCCCCTGCTGATCCAACCATCCAGAGCGTCAGGGTTTCAAACATTTAGAACCAGGAGCAGCAATTCTGGGATTGGTTTGGATTCGGGGTTCTAACTTCAGTAGCTCCTTCCACTACCTCCTTTCTGAAACTTGAAGGCTTGCCTGGCAAACCCAGATTTCAAGACTTCCTTCGCTGCCAAGGTGCCGACAGCCGACAGGGACCAGGGCACGGGTTCCGTCCGCACCCGTCCTGGGCGACCAAACCTTTGGACCAAGGAAACCTCTACTGCTTCATTTGACGGGTGATGCTGTGAGGGAGGATGCAGCTTGGCAAGATAGATCGGTGATGGGACTTGGGAGTTGCTGGTGTTGGAAGCTCCGGGGTTTGTGGAAGATGGGAGTCCAGTGATCGGTCCGGTCCGACCCAAACCACCAAGCACCAGCGAGCTTACGGGAGTGGTGACCAGGAGACTTGCGGTGGGCCTTCAACGGAAGTCTCTTGGGAGAGTGGCCTGTGAAATCTCTGCAGAGCGGGAGTCTAGTGCTTGGGGATGCAAACTTCTTGATGAAGAGGTGGAGAGGGCACCGGAGGAAACGGTGGAGTGGGCCCCCATCGAATATTTGAAAAGATGAAGAGAAAGTTCGGCATCTCTTCGCATCAATGAAGACTGGTTGAGCCGAGCGCTTGGTTGGCTGAGAGCCTTCCATGGAATAAGTGGAAAATTCAACTCCAAAAGCAATACTTGTGAGCTCCGCTGGTGGTACAGTTGGATTTCTCA